GAATCCCAACAAATAAACCCTTTTCCTCATCTTGCATCACCCACCCAACCCCAATGTAACTAGGAGAACACCACCGCATCTTCGTGAGTGCTGCGAGCCGTGATCACCATGGTCGGTAAAGTGAGCGAGCGCGTTCTCCTGCGCGAAGGTGCGAAACCATCATCACCACCATCATCCTCAGCCTCAGCCTCAGCCTCTGAATGAACAACAACTAATTGATGTCTCTCTTCCCGCAAAACAGGACTCGAACGAACCGACAATGGCATGAAGCAGACGAGTTGGCCAGATGTCACCCCCATCAACCAGAAGAATTATTACACGTATGCTTTGTGCTTTCCTAACCCAGGGGGAGGGGATCGTGATGGATCGCGGAGGATCGCGACGGTGGTGGCGGTGTGGCGAGGCTGACCATTTGTTGAACTTCACAGTGATTACATGAAACGGGATGACCAAGTCCTCGCATTACGACTGCAAGCCGAAGCCACGCGCGACAGACTCGTCCAGACAGCCAAGGACCGTGATAGAGCCCTTGCGAGAAATGGCCATGCCGAAGTTCCCCTGCCTGTTGCTGACCTCCAGCCCGAGGAGGTCTCTGCAACCCCCAACGATGGGACAGACCCCTCCAAGGTCATCGTCATACATCCAGGAAGCCAGAACCTGCGTATAGGTTTTGCCAGTGATGCCTTACCCAAGACGATACCCATGACTGTCGCGACCAGATTCCCCCAGACCGAGACCGAGATGCACGAGGCATTGCCCCGCCGCCAGTTCGAGGCCAAGACCACCGACCAGCAGTATGGCGAGGAGTGGTCGAAGAAATACCAGAAGATGTGTAATGATCTTAAGGTGGAAATGCGCGCCAACAAGCGCAAGGTCCTGCCCAACTCCAAGGAGTTGGTGGTCAACTACAACAGGCGGACCGAGTCGGAGGAGATACCACTACACAACGACCCTCTACAGATTGACTGGACCGACATAAAATCCTTGGAGGACCCCGATTCGGTAGCGTCATGTTTCATAGGCAATGCTGCCCAGCGCGTCCCCGATGACTCGAATCCGAAATTCAAGCTTTGGTGGCCCATACAGCATGGTTGGCTGAACGAGGATGATTATGCGACGGCCGAGCATCTATACGATGACTTCGAGACCTTGCTAGACAAGGCTATAAGACAAGAGCTTGGATTGACGAAGAACAGCGCCTGGAGGAACTACAGTTGTGTGTTCGTCATCCCGGACCTGTACGACAAACGATATGTCGAGTTGGTCTTGAAGTCTTGCATGACATGGTTCGAGTTCAGCAGGATATGTTTCATACAAGAAAGCATGGCCGCGACCTTCGGCGCAGGCTATACGCAAGCCTGCGTCGTTGATGTTGGGGCCCAAAAGACGTCGATCGCATGCGTGGAAGATGGGCTGTGCATAGAGGATTCGCGCATCAACTTGAAATACGGCGGGTACGATGTGACCGAGACGTTTATCAAGATGATGCTATACGACAACTTCCCCTACCAGGACATCAACCTTCGAAGACGGTACGACTTCCTACTTGCCGAGGAACTCAAGATCAAGCACTGCACAATGTCACAAGCCGACATCTCGGTACAACTATATCAATTCCATCTCCGTGCTCCCAACCAACCCACCTACAAATATCAGTTCAAGACGTATGACGAAGTCATCCTCGCCCCTATGGGGTTCTACGACCCTGCCATCTTTGACAATTCAGTCAAACTCCGCGGCCGACGTAGGCTCATAGACCGTTCATACAACGCATACGATGTCGATGTACCCGATGATCCCGCATCTGCCGCTCAACTTGCCATTCTCGCCTTGATCAAGCCTTCTGTGGTCTCCAGCGCTACCAGCTTCAACCCCGGTCCATCTGACCCCAATCTCGCAACCCCTAGTAAGGAGAGGACTCAGCCCTTTAACTTCCTCTCGCGCGGAGAACTCAACGGCACGCCCGGCGGGTCGGCTGCAGCTTCACCTGCCCCCGAGGGAACATCGACTCCTGTACCGCCAACCTTCCACTTTGGCGCGAATGGATCCGTCACCGGCACCGGCAGTCCTGCCCCCAGCGGCCTTAATGGCCCTAATGCGCGCAACGGCATGTCACCGGCGCCCCCTCCGGGCATGTTCGTGGACTCAGCTGCGCGCAGCGCCAAGTCGCTGGCGGCGGAGCGTGACGCGGTGCTGCCGGTGGCGCCACTCGACATCGCGATCCTGACGAGCATCCAGAATGCGGCCAAGGGCGACGACAAGAAGCTGCGCGACTACCTCGGTAGCATCATGGTGGTGGGGGGTGGTTCCAAAACGCCCATGTTCACGCAGACGCTTGAGGAGAAGCTGCGTGCGCGCCGCCCCGACCTCTCAGAGCGTATCCTCGTGTCGCGCAGCGCCCGCGACATGGACGAGCAGGTCGTCTCGTGGAAGGGTGCCAGCGTATTTGCCAAGCTGCCCGCTAACGATAGCTGGATTACGCCATTTGAGTTTGAGAGGCTAGGCGCGAGGGTGCTGCATCACAAGGTGCTATGGGCTTGGTAATGATGGATCTGGTTTTTGATTCCAATATGATTTTGGGAAAGGGGTCGCGGGGTTTTCTCTCTCCCTTTATTCCTGTCCCAGCTGGACGGGTTGCATAGTGTCCGTCTGGCCTTTCATAAGATAAAAATAGCTTTGAATGAGGGAATGCAGGGATACTAAGGGTAGGTGAGGTGTTTAGTTATGGATTGTGAAGAAATAATGACGAAGGAGTAGAAAGGGGATGAGGATAGGGGTGTAGTATAGAGGAAAGAACGATACGATGAATTAAAAGAGATATTAATGTTAAATCATGCTGCTTTATCTCCTCATAAAGTGAGCTTGCCTTTGACTATCTATCTTCTAATAAAAAAAACATAAGATAAATCTACCCACATAGGTAAATACCTACCTAGGTAATATATCTATTAGTACAGAAATGATTAGGCACTGGCCACTTTTGCTTTCGTTAGCAATAAAGCATCATATACTCCGCAACATCCGTTTAGAGCAGATTTATCTTCTTTTCAGTAAATTATTTTCATCCTTAGCTCATTGCATTCTCTGTCAGGCTTTGAATATGGAAAGAATCATGAAAGTAGTGGCTAATGTGTGCTTGTTCCCCCCTTTCCTGTTGTTTAGCATATTAAGGGTAAATTTTTTTTAATAATTACCCAATGCACTTAATGTATACTATGTTGGTTATTTTCGATATTAGAATTAGGCCTGTCCCGTTTCGTTCAGATTTTATGTACTTTCTATTGATGTAGGTCCTGGTAGTCATGACTTGAAAGGGAGACAGACGAAATAAAAGGGGGGGGGGGGGGGGGGATAAAGTATAAAATAATGTAGTCCCCCTTTGGTTAATCACACCAATGTATATAAAGAATAGATAATACTAACTTGATATAAATGCCGGGGCACTTATAAGATATACAGATCGATAGGGAAAAGAAATGGAACAAAAACTACCATTATACCGATTAGGCTGTAAATATAGGTATGTACTTATATTTACATCAATGCACCTATGCAAGCAAAACCAAACTCAAGACAAGTCAAGTGACCACACGCCGCAACTACACATTAAAAAAGAAGAAGAAAGGGGTTCCTATACGTTCAAGTCAACAATAGCAAGTATCGTTCTAAAAAAGGGTATAAAAGGGAAGGGGAGGGGGAATGAGAAAAAAAAAAACATACAACACCAGGGGATTCACTGGTCGCCACCGAGCCAACTACTACTCTAGCGATCGCACAGATTTCGAGCGAGAATTATACCTACATGCCGATTTTTTGCTGGAGTTGAGCTCGAAACCAGCAGTAAGAACCGAACAGGGAAAAAGTCACGAAGCGGAAATCTCTGATAGCCTCGAAGAATATCTACCTACAGGCAGCGGGGGACTTGGACGCCTCTGCGAAGGAAGGGTGATTAGGTAGGTAGGTAGGTAGGTAGGTAGGTAGGTGTATGATGCATCGGGCTGCCAGCAGCAAGCCCCTATTTTGGTCTTGGTTGGTCATGGTTGGGGAGCATGTTCTGCGGAACCGAGCATTCATGGCATGAGCTGGGATGCTGAATCGAAAGACTCTTTGTGGTTGAGATGGGGAAAATACAGGAAGGGCATGGGAATGGACGGTATCAGTATCTCAATATCCGTCTAGGTTTACAGAAATAGCTCTTTGGCGGGAAAGACGCTGGTGGACTACCTGCCTAGTAGTTAGATATCGACTCATGGATGCGATGGCCTCCAGGAGGCACGAAATCTTCAAGGACCATAGTCCCAAAGGTTGGATGATCGGGGAGGGGAGAAAAAGAAGAAGAGATACATACCTATTACCTACATTCCTTGGTCCTATCTATCAATTACCACTTTTGCGGGAAAATTACTTATGATCGCGAGGCCTGAAGATCTAGGTTACCTACACATCGATGCAAATGCAATACCTAGGTAGATAGCCGCGTCCCGAGGCAAGGAAATCCTTGGGAAGAATTCCTACTCGGGGATTTAGCATTGGTAGAAAGATGTAGGTACTTTATAACTTGGAGATGTGGATTAACTGATATCTCTGGGTAGTAAGTTACATTGCATAGTTGTCATTGGTAGGAAGCTGTATTAATGTGGTCAAGGTAATGATGGAATATACCAATAGTTACAGTCTGAGTTTAATACGCTGGTTATGAGGTCCTTTGATATTGATGTTGTGCGACTACATTGATAATACCAGCTTCGCCAGGAAGTTCTACAGCCCAAACAAGGAATTCTTACCTAGGTTACCTAATTAAGTAAGGAGGCGTCTCCAGCTTTCCCTCGGCTATCCTCGCATGCACGCGGCCTACCTATTAGCCTACCTACCACCCAACATAGGGGCCAGGTACCAACTCTGGTACAGCTCCACAAATATAGGCTGGTAAAAGGCCCCGAAATCAACAATCGAATCAGGCCGCCGCCTGCTGGTATTTGCTACCAACCCCCCACAAAATGGCCCGGCTGGCGTAATGGTTAACGCGTAAGGCTTCTACTACGTATGTGAGTGACCTTAAGATTGCGAGTTCGAGTCTCGCGTCGGGTTAATAATTTTTTTTCTTTCTTTTTCATATTCTGTCAAAGGATCTTTCTCTTAGGACTTGGCTTTTTTAAGCAGTGTGTCTTTTTACAGTTTTTTAATTGAGGACACTGCAGGTTTAATGCTTTAAACAACTTTTCACTTTGCCGGGCTTAAAGCGGCACGATTGCTCGTGCAGGTTTTATTGATGGAAGCTGAGAAAAAAATCCCCTTTCTTGCACACATAATTAAAACATGAACCCCAGTACAGAGACTAATTGCACTGGTAATTCATATCCTGTCGGTACCCAGCTTTGTCTGTTCTAGGGCACAGCGGACAGGATGCTGGATATTTCTGAGTCCCATGGTTCTTGTCGCATGTGCTAGTTCCGTGCTGTGTTCCAACTTACAATACCTACCTACCTTACTTACCATACGAGATAACATATTCCAGAAAGAACAAAAGGGGAGAAAGGGGCCGCGGGAAGGGGAGTAACTGAACTGAACTGCGTACTTAGGTCCTACATGTGGATTCGCGCGCAGAAACCTTTAAACCGGAGACTCCCCCAATATGACGGTGCATAGGTGCACATTATATGAAGTGAGGAAGAATGTGTGTGTGTGTAGTGAGGTGAGTTAGGTCTGGTATCCTTTAACTACCTACATGTCTTTACCTAGTACAAGTCAAAGGGGGTACGGGATGGATGCACTTACCATATACACTGTTCAAACGTATTAATGAGTGAAAAATAAAACAAAAGTGTAAAGCACAACAAACACCACGATCAGATATGACATCCCTCCCCTACCATAAAGGGAAGCGAGACAAAAAAACTCAAAACCCATGAGCCAAGTTTGTGTGTGTGTGTGCATGTGCACAGCGAACTTAATTGATCTGATTCTGTCTGTATCTACTCGAGATTCATCCCCAGTGTTAGGAGTCCATAGGTACGAATCAGCCCACCGCAGAACCAATCTGTCTATCTACCCGGAGGTAAAGCATGATTTCGTTTCTGGGGGACTAATCACATCCTCTCTACTCCTCACCTCTCAACCTCCTCGACGATGATACGAACCACCCGGACCATATCCTGCCTCTTCCTCTCCTTAGATCAGATCTGACGCAACCAGCCTCCCTGCATATTTGTTCCACCCCTTCTTTTCCTTAGCCTCTACCCCTCACTCTTTTTCGGCGATCAAAGATGACGAGGGAGAAGGATGGAGAATAAGAAAAAAAAAAGAAGCTCAGTATTTATTTACATAACCATAACAGGTACCCTAGCAAAAGCGAGGAAAAAGAGGTAAGGGCAAAACAAGAAAAGAAAGAAGACAAAACGTCCATCTATTCTCGTAAACCTTGCGGGTATCTCGGGTGAATGCAAGTAAATGTGTGAGAGCAAAAAGGGGAAGAAGAAAACCCCTCCACATCATCCCAGAACGCCAAAGGAAACACCGAGTTGCCATCCATACCACACCAGAGCTGCAGAGATGGAGAGATTAAGATAGATGGAGGTACGAGGGTGCGGCAGAAAGTGTATGTGAGAGAGAATTAGGAATGTGATAGTGTGAGAGGAATTGTATATCATGGGCTATAAGTCTTCAGCACCAAGGAGTCGCATACCTAGGCAGGGTGCTTCAACAATTAAAAGGGTCCTTGGCGGGCGGACGTGGTATCGGCGTAGGCTGGGACGATGTCGCGGAGGAAGGCGGGGCGATGTGTCCCTGTTTAGGGGTTGTTGTGGCCTTATTGACAGCATCTCTGGCCCAACTGGGGAGACTGGGCTTGGTAGGTTGCGAAGATTGTTGTTGGGCTTTCCTACGCTCCATAACAGCTTCTACAGCCCTTCGATCGTCTACCCGGTGAGACTTCCCAGGGTCCGACGACATTCTTTGGAGAACCTGTTCAAGGTGCTAGGACGTGTAAGTATGGTGACATATTCAACATTGACTTGAGGCGATCAGGCAATCATACCTTTGGGTCGCCATTAGAAGCTTGAGGGCCTTTGGAACTTTTGTACCTCTCCCATGCCGTATCATTCAGTGAGTCCCACGATTCCTGTTGTGCCCTGATTTCAGCCGGGGACATATGTGCTAGCTGATCTGGATTGACGATGCCCATACACACCGCTTCGACGAAGCGTTGGGAAGACGACGCACTTATAATCGCCCATCGAGTGGCATTTCGAAGCTCATAACCCTGTTGCTCTGTGTGCCCCCAAACTCTACCTGCAAGTACCCGGGAAATATCTGATCGTCTTTCATGCTCATCGCCAGTCATATCCTTTGTGAAAGCGTGGTTAAGCTCGCCCTTAAACGCTTGCCAGCGATCCCAATTCACTCCTGGAACAAATGTCTCGGCATGCATAGCAGGTCGAACCTGACCTCCTTGGAACCCATTCTCATATCCACCCGATACGCCGTGATGATGAGGAAGAGGTCTCCCTAGTCTACGAGCTTCATTTTCACGAATGATCTCGTTAGCTAGAAGGCGATCTTCCGGTGTCAACTCCGCATCTTCAAGTGCTTCCTCTTCAAAGGTGTCCATCATGGTAATAGACCTGATACTTGTTTCGTAGTTGTCCAGAACTTTATCTAGAACGGCATCTTTGTTACGGTGTTCACTTAAGTCCTGCTGTTCAGGCTCTTCGGGCATATCGAAGCCCTCGTTGAATGGCTGAGCTTTCGGGATGGGGTGCTTTTTATCAACTACCCGAGAAGCTAATTGCATCTTCCAGATGGCTTGGTTCAACAGCTTCTCCTCAAAAGTACCTCCACAGACGAAGCGGTAGACGAACACCGGCTTTTTCTGCCCGATTCGGTATGCTCGTCCAACTGCCTGTTGTTCTTCTTGTGGATTGAACTTGACATCAAATATGATCACTCTGTTGGCTCCCACGATGTTGAGTCCCAGACCACCGGCTGATGTGGAAATGAGAAAAATGTCAACTCCGCCTTTATTAAACTCTTTGACTAGTGTTTGACGTTCGTTCATTTCGGTCTTCCCATCTAGCCGCAGAAAGGAGTACTTCTTTTTCCTAAGAGCGAGCTCCAGGTAGTTCAGAGTTCCAATCTGATGGGAGAACAGAAGAACTGAGTCGTGTGCCTTCTTACACTCCTCAAGGATGGCAAAAAGTAGGGGGATCTTCCGAGATAGTGTCAGTTCATCCACATCTTTGTTCTGTTCGGCGTGGCGCAGGAGAGCCATTTCATCGCTAATGAGCTGCTGGGGTAAGGTGACATTGACAGATCCATCGCCATTTTGGGCATTTTTGTTGATGCTCCCGTTCTTCTGGATTCGTCTCAATTCTTTCAACTTGGTCAGGAAAACGAATGGATGAGAACAGATAAGACCTAGTGTATCTGTGGCAGCGAAAGTTCCTGTACTAGTTTTCTCCTGTCCCCGATGAGTGATGTACATCTCATATGCGCTTCTCTGTAGGGGGGTAAGGGGCACCATGAGAACAAACTCTTTTTTGGTCGGTATATCATTCTTCAGGACTGAAATCGTGATACGGCTGACCTTTGGTGCGGCTTCCGACTTCAGAACGTGTAACATCCTCAAAGCCTTTCTGCGCTGATGACTTGTACTGTCGATAGAGAGGCCGACCTTGATAGGTTCACTGTATCGTGCGCGGAATTCGCGAGGATCACCAAGGTAATTATTGGCAACCCAATTAATCATAGAATAATACTCCTCGACATTATTCGCCAAGGGGGAGCCCGTCAAGGCTATTCTGATTTTAGTCTTGAAGTTGGCTGTTGCTTCGTGCAATTGGGATCTCGGGTTTTTTAGCATATGTGCCTCATCGGCAACCACGATATTTGGGTTCTCATGTAAGATCTTTGCGAAATGCTGGTGCTTCATATATCTCTTGAAGAGGTGGTAGCCAATGATCAGAATGCCACCACGAGCACCCCAGTTTTGAATAGTGTGTTGCCGTTCATCGAAACGACTTGTTGAATCTAATTTGTAGAATGGGCCAAGGTAGTGGCCTTCAGGGGACCAAAAAAGTAACTCGTCCATCCAATTGTTGACGAGAGTAGAAGGACAGAGTATCAATGTCCGAGATACTCGTAGTTCCTCCGGGATTTGTGAGTAAATTGTTGCATCTGGAGAGTGTGAAGCTTGCGCAATGGTCACTAAGAGAGTGATGATCTGCATGGTCTTTCCGAGGCCCATAGTATGGGCCAGCAGACAGCCTTGCCTTGTCTCAGCATCCACGATCTGATTCCACATAAATCTTACTCCGGATACTTGGTGCTCCTTGATGCGCTCTGCGATTTCCGTATGCACATAGATGAAGCCTTGGTCATCTCTCTTGCTTTCGTTGATAATCATAGTCGTCTGACTGCCAGGTCCCATTTCACCTGATGCCTGGAGTCGGCCAAGTTTCTCACGCAGAAGCTGTCGCCGGCGTGCTTGCTCTGCTATTCGCACTTGGTCGGTCTCTCGGAGGTTGGCCGCTTCCTGGTTGCGAACTAGCTTCTTACGCTTGCGCTTTTTCGAGGAGGACGGTTCATTATCATCATCTTCATCATTAGTACTCCTATCGCTTCCGGCATCGGAGTCGCTTGAGTCCGTAGATATGATATCTTGATCTTTCTGTTCTTTTATCATTGGAACAGTCGGTGTCTGGTCATCTATATACCAGTCAAACCGGTCAGAAAGTCGGACGAGAAAACTAATAAAATTCTCAAAATTTTGAGCATTATCCCTGGATTGAAGGTCCCGGATCCTTTGTTTTCCTGAATCGTCCAGTTTCTTGTACCGGCTCAACCGATAGACAGTATCGTCCTTGTGGATTTCGAATAAACGAATCAGGGTATATGTGACGAGAGCATCCTTCTTCTTGTTGGTGTTGTAAGGGGCTCGGGGGAATTCCCCATCATCCAACACTCGAAGCACAAAATCCAACCAGATAACACTTGCTGGAAGTCTAGTGGCCATCGAAAATATTAGGGATATATACATCTGGTCTAACTCCGTCAGTGTAAGAGCGACCTTTTTCTCCGCAGGGTCAAGGTCA